CAGTCTTGTTAGCTGCGTCAACAAAGCCTGAGACGCCATTAGGAGGAGTGGCAGAGACTCGGCTTCACTGCTGACCTTCTGGTTTGACGCCGCCTAGGGACTCCCATCGCATATCAAAGACTCTTTCTGTGCACTGTCTCTAAGCGTTCTAACTGGCTCGGTGATGGCGACATCAGCGGCAGCTGAAGAATGCAGCTTCTTATGAGCGCAGCATTCAGCTTAACCATCGACAAGGATTCTTGCCCCAGCGTATACCTTCATGCTCTTCAGTTTTCATGCTCTTTCCGGGGGTGCGGCGGAAGTCAACGCACCTTTCGCTGAATACCAGAAGCCATTCCATTCGTCGCGCAACGAGTGTTTGTTTCCTGGGCGTTACCATCAGCGATAAGTTGCTAAGGCGACGAGCAGTTGATGGTATTGTGGTCACATTCATGCAGAGACTAAACACGGGAACTAGCTCTCGCAAGAGAGGCTTGCAAGTTTAAACGAACTCTTGAGCTCTTAGGCTGCCCAATGGCAGCCTAAGTACCCAAGGAAAAAACCAAACGAAAGTTCCGTATCAGAGAGGTCTACTCTTGGCTGACAACATCAATTTACTCTATTACAAGTATTGTTGAATTTAGCAGCAGGAAATGTGACGGCACTGTGCACTAGAAAAACGCAACATCGCTCTATATATAGCTGGCCTGACCCGCTAGCACGATGTGATCGTGACGATGCGTTAAATTGAAACACTGAACTCAGGAGCACGTTGCAGCAAGGCCAGTTTACATTTGTAGCCAATAGGCAAGGTATAAACAGAAACATTCACTCAGTTTTATTGCAAAAGTTTGACCGTAGGCGTAAAAAAGTAGGCACATACATACCGACCAGCTTCCGCAGTACACACCTGCGCATGCTCGATAGATAAGACCGCGAGCCCACGAATCATAATGCACAGTCATCGCAGAAAAAAATGGCACGTTGCTTCAAATTATTATTGGAAAACAGGTTTGTCATTATTCCTCAAAACTGTCGGCAAGATTAGAGAGGCTCTGAGTTTCCTTTTCTGTACGTACGAGAAGAAAATACGAATGTTGAGAAAACACTACAGTCACCTCTAAATATTGGTGTTTGTACATGAGAAGTACACTGACTTCCTTGCTCATCCACGCAAAGGATTGTAATGCATTCTCGAGTATTTTAGCCGGATTAACTGAACTACCTACAACTCGTCGAGCGCAGTTTTCAGGCTATCTTAGGAATCATTACGTAACTCCACCTACAGAGCTAACTGTGTAGTTAGACCCAAGCAGGCGCCGCGTATGACGTAGCACCGCCTCCTTTGTTTCTTTCAATGCGAGTGCAAATGTGCGCTTCTCAACGGTCCGCCCTGGTTCAGGGAGCGGTCGTGAGAGAGAGAGAGAGTTTCAGGAAGGAAAAAAACGCAACTTCTGCAGCCCTAATTGGGAGCACGGCTCAGCGCCTTAAGGCGGGGAGGGGGGAAGAGGGCATTAGAGATGTGAAGAGAGAAGAATAAGAGAAATGGCGTCCATGACCAAGGACGTGGCGGGCGGCTTCTATAGCCGGTTGTCTTATAGTCCAGTGTCATCAAGAAAGCGAAGAACCACCTTGAAGACCTAGGTGTGGTGCCCGCAGGTCCCTCTGTGTAGCTGCGGGCAGACCATGGCGACGTAGTGCGGCGAGCAAGATGCCGAGTTGTGTGCGAAGCTCTGGGCAAACACACAACAGGTGCTCGTGGTTTCATCTGCCTCACACGCAGTGCACGCAGGGACGAGGTTCTGCCAAGCTGATGACGCCGGGCCGCAGGCCAGGAGCAGCCGATGCGTAAGCGAAGTAGCAGGGACCTCCCCTTCCTGGTGGGGTTGTGATGCGGCGCTACAAGATGGGCAAGATGGGTAGAACTGCTCGCGTCACACCTTCGTGCAAGCGCTTTCACCCGAAAACGCGGTAGACGTGTTTCCCACTCCAATATCATACGTCTGTCACATTTGTTGCTTCGGGTTCCTTCTTTGTAGCTTGAAGCAATGCTGCTGCCACAACACAGCACATGGCACGCAGCGCTGCAGTGGCACGTCCCCTTTGTTTGCCCGCATAGCGCCCCGAACGGCGACGTGCTATGTCAAGACAGATGCTTGGGCTAGTTGGTGATTTGGAATCAACATATTTGCACAGCGCAAGACTACGAGTAGTTACGACGTAACTACAGAAGAATAGACAAGGACAGAAAGAGTGCTGTAGCACTCTTTCTGTCTTTGTCTCTTCTTCTGTCGTTACGTCGTAACTATATACTCGTAGTCTTGCGCTGTGCAAATATGTTACTATGTCAAAAGAACGTTTTTTTGTTTTTTTTACAGATCCAGCGTGACCACCACCACTGTAAACAGGAGTAACGCAAGACGCCGCCCCAAGAATCCGTACACAACTGAACAAAAAGAAAAAAAAATACTTCATATGACTTCCTTCGTGAGCCACTGAATGAGGGGTTGTCTCCCCCACGACGGCAGAGCACACACGAAACCTGAGGAATGGGCGAGACAGGAAAGGGCTAGAGGAGAGCATGGTAAACGGCTGATTTGGGCACATCTGGCGGGCATTGGTAAAATATGGGAGGCATTGGACGTAACGAAGAGGTGGGGCAGAAACTCCCAAATGGCGTCCTCTGCCAGTCTAAGTCTCTTCGCTTTTCATGACTTGTCCAGAGCCTTCTTGCGCAAAAGTAGAGTCATTCGCATTGTAGCAGGGCGATTCGCAACCACAAAGGAAACAAGTATTCAGCTCGGTGTCCCTTCACAAGCCTCCGAAAACGCAAAAGGCGAGCGCGTTGTTCTGTTTTTCCGTTTTTCGTGTTTCGGGTGCACTCTGTGACGCAAGAAAGGCGATTCACGTGACGTCATTGAGGTAAATACTGTCGAATGGTCGATACTTCAGAAGTGTCAGCTGAGGGTTGTCTACTGCATTACTTTACCATGATGCTGCGCACCCGTTCCGGACCAGAAAATGGAATCAGGTCAAGGACTCAACTTTTCTGCCACAATACACATTTATATCTCTCTCCCACCCGTTTTTCCTAGAGTCGCATAACTTTCGCGCGCGATGAACGGATTACATTTCATTTTGCGCGTTTCCGAAGCCGCTAGTGCGCGTAGCACCGACCAGCGAGAAATCCTGGAGGACTGAACGCTCAGTGCTGACGTTGCATGCGTGTGCTTCGAAAAAATAAGCGGGAAAGTGGAGAGCAGCGAAGACGAGAAGATGTTTCTTTCTTTGTGGCTATAGAGAAAGAAACAACTGCATCGTCTACGTACATTCAGTGCGTGGTTAGGGGCCCTTTGAAACGAGAGAAAAAAGCATCCACGCCACAACACAGGGCGCACATTTTCCGCCACACTACCGAAGACATCCTCGGCGAGCCCTTTCCCGCGCCGCCACCACTGTTTTTCCTCGGTAATCCACAAATCTCGGTTATCCCACGAGACACGGAGCCGTGATCCAGAGAGAAAGAAGCCACACTTTCGGGTCGAACCGCATTGACCACCCGAAAAATAAGGGGGGCGGGGGCAGAGCACGAACCGCGACAAACCGACGAGAGGAGCGTGGGAGTGATGTCTCGAGTTACGCGTCCCAGCGGCGGCGCGCTGACTGACGGGCCGTCAAATCGGCGAGCCGAGTTCCCTGTCAACCCCAAAAGGTTTCGTGTTGCGTTATCCCGGCAACCCGAGGGAGTAGGGATGTCGCAATTCTCTCGCGCCGCTCCTGTTGGTGTTCCCGTATAACGTTTCCACGAGGATTGCGCTGCGTGCAGTGCGTGACTGCAGCCGATAAGAACACGCGAGTGAAAGAAGAAAGCCAAGGGACGGAGATCTGCTGCATTGCTTCCACGACACAACGCGCTAATGTGCGTTCTGTGGAGGATGGCTGGGTGAACGTCACGAAGATTTGGGTTTTGCTGTCGAGATGTTGCACGTAGTATTCAAGCATGCCGTGGTTTTATCTCGGCTACAGCTCCAGTACTTGGCAGTTGCCATCAATCAAAGCAGTCTAGACCACGCTGCAGAGCGCTCGAGCTCGCAGAAGACTGTACACGAAGCAGCATATACAGCCATTGATCGGTTCGTTTCGCTCTGAGAATAAATGGAACTCGCGGGCGGCCATGCACGCCTGCATTTTTAGTCCATCAAGTTCCCTGGTCCTTTCTGCCAGTCACTAACCAATAACTTATTTTTAGCTTCTTTAGGGAAATTTTCTTTAGCGGTATTTTATGTTTAAAACGGAGAAATGGGGTGCAGACACGTTGAAGGTTGGAGCAAAAGCAGAGCTCTGCATGAACATTATCAGTTTAATTTGGTATCGCACTTATCCACGTGATGACGCAGGTTTTGGAGAGACGCCAGCACGAAAGAAGCTAATCTCAGGCTAATCTCAGGCTAATCTCAGGCTAGAGGAAATCTAAAGCTAATCACAGAGAGCGGGTGGCAGGGTATGTTTGTGAAGCATCCATTACGTACGAGCAAACTAATTTCTTGGAGGCGTATTCTGTTCAGTCATCCCCAAGTTTCTCTTAATTTTTCTTTAATACTTTAGTACGTCATACAGAGAGGTCGGTTTAGCCATGGGTGTTCGTTTCCGTGAAGTGTGCGGCTTACAACATTCAAACATCGATCGTGAACGAATGCGCAAGCTGTGTCTTGCACAGAAAAGAGGGAGCGCGTAAATGTGGGCGCTTTTGTTGTACGCCGGTGCTACTTCACGTTAAGTACAATCTTTACCGCTCACGCCGAAATAACAACACAGAGAGACCTATAGCATGCAGTACGATTACACCGGGCATCCTTACGACGACGCTCTTGGCGTATATATTTTGACAGAAAACAGTAGCTACAGCAGCCGGCTCGGCGCTCTAGACAAGTGATTTTGTCTGTCACTGAAATATCCGTCTGAGCATCTAATTACAGTTTCGCGGCAGATATGATTGCGCATGCGCGTGCAACGACACTCACCGCCTCGTCGTGCACCAGCTGGCATCGGCAGAAAAGAGGTGACAATGCAGAGTAGCGTCAGCGCCGTCCCGCGGACACTGTCCGTCGCTGTGCGAACGCACAGCATCATGGCACCTGCAGAAACGAGAGAATGGTTGAAGACGACTGGGCATATTGCTTCGCGATTCAGACTGTTCAATCGCGCAAACAAGGCAGGCACTCAAGCAAGAGACGAGGACACCCAAACTCCCGATAAATTTTTACTTCTTCGAGCACACATTTTTTATACAACCGGAGAAGTGCCACCACACAAGCACTAACAATCAAGCTCTTCAACAATTCATTGATTGATATGTAGGGTTCATTGATTGATATGTGGGGTTTAGCGCCCCGAAACCACCATATGATTATGAGAGACGCTGTAGTGGAGGGCTCCGGAAATTTTGTTGATACATAAGGTTTAACGTCCCAAAACCACCATATGATTGTGAAAGCCGCCATAGTGGAGGGCTCCGGAAATTTCGACCACTTGGGGTTTTTTGAAATGCACCCAAATCTGAGCACACGGGCCTACAGCATTTTCTCCTCCAATTTTAGAAATCAACAATAAACTTCTTAGCGAAGAGCTTGCCTTCCTGAAAAGTTGATTCCTAATTAGTACACGTGCATGAGGTGGCACTCCCGAGGTTTTATAAAAACTGTTTGTCGAAGGAAATAAACTATACTGTTGGTATTTCGCGCTTTTTTTTTTGTCGTCGTCACTTTATAAAATCGTTGTCCTGTTTACGAATTTCGACACTTCGACAGACGAGTGCCTGTTTTAGCACTTCTTCAGAAGGCATATACAAGAAACATCACCGTGTACATGCACTCTCACCTTAACATGCATTGAGGTGTTTCGCGAGCGTTTGTGCAATTTTTGGAATGGAATGATACGAATAATATACTAATAGAACTAATAACGATAAGAATGGCATGATACAACTAACAACACAGGATCAACAGAAGACACGTTTTCTTAAATTTTCTTTTATTATCAGTCCCAAGCTGTCCAATACAGAATATTTCAATGTACATGTATACGGTGATCTAAATATTTCATCTTCAGCAAAAACTGTATTCTGAGAGCACCATTCTTCAGCGAAATCACAAAACAAAGCAGCCAGTTGAGCACGCCTTCAAATGATATCCAAGGCGGTCGCATTTTCGATGGAAGCGAAAATGATTGAGGCCCGTGTACTTTGCGATGTCGTTTTACGTCAAAAATCACCAGATGGTCGAAATTTTCGGAGATCCTCAACTGCGGCGTCTCTCATATCGTCGTTTTAGAAAAAATCGTAATATTATTATTATTATTATTATTATTATTATTATTATATTATTAATATTATTATTATTATTATTATTATTATTATTATTATTATTATTATTATTATTATTATTATTATTATTATTATTAGGCACCCTTTCGAGCCTGTAAGTGAAGCGCGTAACCGAGACACCTGGCCTTTTCACGGACTCCACGCCGGAGCTCGCTGTTCCCGTTCTGCTTTTGCAGATGGCCGAGGCTGCCCATCATTGAATGGGCGCGGCTTCTTGTAATAGCGTCCAAGGAGAAGCGACGTTTATCGCACCATTGCACGCCGACGTAACTGGAGGTTTATGTCAGCGAAAGAAGGTGACGTGAACCATTTATAATCGCGACCAATAGCGGCCTACAGACAGTTTGGTGCACGCGAATACGTTTTCTGCTCGGCGCCGGCGCGTTTTCATTTGCTGGAGTCTGTCCTACAACACTCGGCGCGTCCCTTTTATGCGTCGAGCTCCACGGGAGGAAGAGGGAGAACCCAAGACGTCATAAATCGCCGCGGTGGAAGAGGAGGAACGGATGCGAGGAGTTGAGGGTCACGTAAGGTCAGAGCTGGAATCCAGCACGCAGACGGTTGATAAATTGAAAAACGAGCCGTCCATCATGGCGGTCCCACCGAATCCCGTCTCTTCTGCTGCTGCTGCCCAGGCCGCAGTGATATGCAATGCCAAGGGGATCACGCTGGTCGAGTCACGTGATACCCGCCGATAGACTGCGGGCGTTTCTTATTTTTGCAAACGCGATCTCCCTGCCGCCAAGCACGTCATGTTCATGACACTCGAAGAACTGATGAACGAATCATCTGATGGCTGAAAGGGACGCTGCGACTGATTGGTTTCTGTTTATAAAAAAAATCGAACAGCGCGAAATAGCATACCGTATTTACATGATTTTAACGCGAGGGCTGACTCATCATTGCGCAAAGTTCAGTAGCGACTGTGTAAGCACGCCGTCCTTGTCCCTGAGGGATTGTATTTTTGAAAAGGGCATCAGTCAGTAATCCAAGTCACATATCTTTGAAACGAATGAAGTGATAGTAAAATGCACATTTCATCGCATGCCATCTGGCTGCAGCCTGCGAGTATTCACGCTGCATATTTGAGTACAACAAAAGAAAATGTAAACGTTCAGCTCATCCACATGTATCACTCAGACTAAGACTCACCAATATCTGCTTCAACTCAACTCGGCCTCACGGCAACATCTTAGTCTGAGTCATGGCTCAGTTTGCCGATGTATCCTTTATATATATATATATATCTGCTTTTGCTGCAATAAACTATTTTGTCCGAAGTCCTCCTTTGTCATCCTAATGCTAATTTGCTCTAAATTAACATGAAATACTTCACCTAGTTTAAGTACTGATTTAATCTCCCCCTGATACATTCCCAAACGAAGCATCTACCTCTTCACTCGCATATACTCTCCACCCCAACCTGGCCTCGGCGCTGTGGGAACCTGCAGCTGCGGAAACGCGCTCAGCGGCCCAGCCGAACGCTGTGGTGGTCACAAGCAGAACGCGCAACTGCGGCCGCACTCTCGCATAGCCTTGTTACTTTGCAGTTACATAATTTATTATTAGGCTCCGCGTTAGAATAGCACAGTTCATTAGTGCACGTATAAATGGCAATATACTAAAGCCGTACTGAACATTTGTTCGGCAAAGGTGAACTTGCACCGGCCACTTAGACCTATTATAGCACCTTTCTACGAGGCGTGGGTATAGATTAAACAGGCGGACAACTTTTGCAAGAGGAAGACCAGCGATTTTGCGCACGATGATGGTGATTACTCTCAGAAGAATGACACTACCCACCACGGGGGATCGGCCATGAGGCGTGCGGCAATAGAATTTGTGAAACGAATTAAAATAAACTGTAATTTATTACTAGAAGTAAAGAAAAGAGGAGGGCAGAATGTGCGCAAAAAAGATCAACTAAATAAAGACAAAAATATTGGTAATAAATTTAGTGTCTTTCAATTCAATGCTTCCTAAAGCTAAAGATATAAACTAATTTTTGATATAACTAAGGCGACAGCATAGATGAATCATAGCGATCAATCAATCAATCAATCAATCAATCAATGAAGCTTTATTTTCATAAATAGATATATGCAATTACAGGGATTATTTGGACCGATAGCCTAAAGTGGCTAGTGGACGGTCCAATACAATGTGCAACATAAAAAAGTGTACAGGTCAGCTCTGAGGTAACAACAACACAGTAATACATTTTTTCTTGCAGATATGCATACTTATTAGCTTGCAGCTAGTTTCTATACATAGGCACTTATTAAAAAAATACAATGAAAATCGAATCACACACACATGCTTACATGTCTTGACTCCACAGAAAAAATGATTTACATGCCATGCTGAAATTACGTGCCGTTTTAATCTCTAGGGGGACCGTGTTCCATATTTTTGTTCCACTAAACTGTATCAGTCTTTCTCCGTAAACATTAAAACATTTGGGCAGATTGAAATTACCATTCGAAGCATGTCGCGTATTGCGTTTAGGAATTGAAAAAAGATCAGCAGGCAAAGGTGAATTTCTATTAATTATGTTATTTACTGAAACAGCAATTTTGTAGTCACGCAACATCGGAACCGAGAGAATGCGTTGTGATTGGAAAATATTACTTACTGATTCACCTTGGCTTATGATTTTCAGTGTACGCTTTTGAAGTCGTTCAAGAGTTTTTAGATAACTGTTGTACGTCAAACCCCACGATTCCAGACAGTAACCTATGTGACAATGACACAATGAAAAGTAGAGTGTGCGGAGTATAGCTTGTGGAAAATATTGGCGAGCTTTTATTAGAGAATAGCAGCCATAGGCTAGCTTTGCGCACACACTTTGATAGATCTAGATGCTTTGATAGATTTAACCTGGCATTCGTTTTGATTCTTTTAAATAAATAAACATAGCGTTGTAAATTATCCTGTCAGTGCTCTATAGTGCCGACGAGCCCAGGGAGAGCAATGCCGATGTAGAAAGCTCAAGGCCACTTTTATGGAATAGCTGTTTTTAGAAATTTTTGCCTTGGGTTCTGTTGTCTTCGACACTCCAAGAAGCGCTCGACAGAGTATTCATTGGGTTGACGGATCGAATCAAGGCCTGTGTAAGTAGAAATTCAATCATGCTATTCTGCATCGCAATTTTGTTACTGTCTCTTCCAATTGTCTTGTGCTGCACCATGAGCTTAATCACGGATACCTAAAGTGCAGGAAACTTGTATCGCTATGCACAGAAGATTTGGTATGCTTCTCGCGCGGACAATATTTTCTGAATTATGCGAGCGTGTTATTGCGGGATGGGGTTAGAATATTTAGGACAGCTCCTTTAGCAAATTCTGCTGCTAAGGCGTCCGCCTCTTCATTCAACTCTAATCCAGTGTGGCCTGGTACCCAAACCAGACGGATGTTCCGCACATGATTTGGCATATACGAATAAAGTTCTGCGAGGTAGCTGAGCAAGTGAAATGCTACTAGCGCAGTGCACATGGTCAAGGAATCTGTTAACAACACTACTGAAGAAATGTGTGATGGGAGTTTACTCAGTGCAAGAACAATTGTCATTAATTCTGTCTAGAGTATTGGTGTGAAATCGCGCAAGCGAAGAGAAAAGGGCCAACTAAGATCCGTTGAATACCTTCCCACTTCGGCCTACATGTGCCGAACAGGCAAGCGAAGGAGCTCGCACGGCCGCCAAATCTACTACGGCCCCCGAGTGGCGGATCGGAGGCAGCAAAGCCGACGTAA